AGGAGCCTGAGCCAGCCCCTCTATGAAATGGAGGTAACCTACCAGCTGTCCCCAGGATCTGAATGTTGCATATATAGCACAGACTCTGGAAAATTGGTATCAAAAAAAATTGTAAATAACAGAATTTAGGAACAGGCACAGTGGTTCATGCCTGTCATCCTAGCACTGAAAGGCCAAGGGGGGAGGATTTCTTGAGCTTAGGAGTTTATGATCAGGCTGAGGAGGGTAAGATTCCATCTCTACCAAAAATAGAAAGAATTAACCAGGTGTTGTGGTGGGCACCTGCAGCCCCAGCTTCTCAGGAGGCTGTGGTAAGACGATGCACCTGAGCTCAGGAGTTTGAGGTTGCTGTGAGCTAAGATGATGCCACTGCACTGTATCTGGGCGACAGAGAAAGACTGTTTCTGCAAAACCTCCAGATTTTGTCTAACATCCCCCCAAACCAATCAAGAGAGTGGAACAGAAATTTATCCACTGCATTCTGGGCCAGGAAGGCCTGTCTGCAGCTTCTCTCAGCCTCCAGGCTTCCAAGGGGGCCCTTGGTGTAAGGACATCTTTTCTGTAGCTGAGGGGAAACAGGGTGGAGGGTAAGAGGGTAGGGAGTCCACTCTTGTGGCAGGACCTCCAGGTAGAGCCATTCAGCCACAAGCCCCTTCCAAACCTTTTGCAGCTGTACTGGAGCCACCAGAGGGCGCCCAGACCCTGTAGACCAATGTCACTGCAGGGGGCTTGCTGGGGTGGCTCTCCTGCTTCTCCTAGGTGCCTGCCTGCCCCCTACAGCCACCCACACTCCCAGCAGATTGCTCCCACCTCCCTGCACTGGGACTCAGCCCTGTCCTTCTTGTTCCTTATGACCCCTATTAGGGTCTTAGTTCTCCACATGTGGCCAGGGGAAGAACACAACCCTGGTGGAAAAACTTGATGCCCCTGTGACACAAGGCACCAGACATACTCACATCACCCCAGCACCCTCTCCCAACTCTGGGATCTGTTCTCCCTCTCCCATCTCCCTTTTGCAGATGAGGAAACTGAGGCTGCACCGTGATCCTGCCAGCCTGCCTTCCTCCATGCGCTGGACCTTCCTACTGGGCCCCAGACTGACTGGGTCTCTCCTCCTCCTTCCCTATGCAGGGCAGCAGCAGCGATGACACTGAATTGCGGTACTCCTCCCAGTACGAGGAGCGCCTGGATCCCTTCTCTTCCTTCAGCAAGAGGGTTTGTGAGCCCAGCCTGGCAGGGGGGTGGGCAGGCCAAGGAAGCCAATGAAACCCTTGCTCTCACTTTGCCTCTGACCTCCCTGATTCTCCACTCCACCTGCTGTCACCTGTTCACTCATGGCCACAGCCATGAGGTCCAGGCCCACCCAGGAGCTCCTGCTCACAGCTGCCTGAGGGTGTGCAGCAGTGAAGAGGTTGACCTGGGGTGCACTTAGGGAAGCAGGCAGGCAAAGCACTCACAGGGTCAGGTGATAGGTGATGAGACACCGCCCCCAACTCCCTCCTCCATGGGCTGCAGAAAAACTTTCCCACAGGCAGAATGGGCCACAGCAGAAAGGAAGAGGGGCTCACACAGATGTCCAGGGAGCCCAGCATGTCATGCTGAGTGGGACTGGGTAAGGCCCCAGCAGCCTAGGATTCTGCGAGAATAGCAAAGCAGGGCAGTCTGTGAACAGGCAGGGCCCCCTCTACCTTCTGGGTGGGCCCCAGGGGCCCTTTGAAGTCTTTTCCTCATCATCCCTCCCCCTTCAGGAACGGCAAAGGAAGTACCTGAGCCTGAGCCCCTGGGACAAGGCCACACTCAGCATGGTAAGTCCTTGCCTGTGCCACCTGGGACAGGCCTGAACATCTGTCTCTAGGCACCTTGTCACCTCTCCCTCACCCAGGCTAGAGAAGCCTCAGGGACTCCACTGACGCCTCACAGGCCCTGCCAAGAGTGGCTGTGTGATCTGGGATAGTGTCTTTACCCCTCCTACCCCTGGACAGCAACTCTGGTAGCCAAATTTGCAGTAATTTGTGCAACTGGGCTACAGGGGACGCCATTCCTTAGAATTCCCTTAGCCCTCCTTCCCACCTGTAGGGGTGGAATGGGAGCCCCCACAGCCTATACCTCCTTACCCACCCCTTGCTGCTCCCCAGGGGCGCCTGGTTCTCTCCAACAAGATGGCCCGCACCATCGGCTTCTTCTACACGCTGTTTCTGCACTGCTTGGTCTTCCTGGTGAGTGTCCCAGCCAGTGGGCCAGGAATGCATTCACCCACTCCCCACACCACACCTTCAGCCCTAGGCCACTCCTCTCACCTCCACAGGCCTCAGCTCATTCTGTGGGAAAGGCCTGATTGGCCTCATTTGGGGGCCTGGTCCTGAAGGGCTTGGTGGAAGGAAGGGCCACTCTTGGTGGCAGGAGGGAACAGGTGTGATGAGCAGATTGGCTGCACAGAGAAGGGACATCTTGCACTGATCTCTTCACTGCAGAGGGGCATATGGTCAGTGGGCAAAGGACATGCACGGGCCCAGTGTTGCCTCCTTGTCCACCAAGTGTGGGGAGAAGAGGGGCAGGCCATGTCCATAGCAGGTGACGGCCTCCAGAACCTCTACCCCAAGCCAGGCCACAGTCACAATAGCCCCTATGGGCTAGCCTGGGCTCCAGCTCTGCGCAGGTCTGCCCACAACGTTACTGATGGTACATCCGTGTCTGGGCCTGTCTGACCACCTGTGAAATGTCTGTAAGGCCCACCTGGCCTGGGGACTGGGCCATGAGACCCTTTATATCTCTGGAGGCCAGGCCCAGAGGCCACAGGTGGGCCACAGGAGTAATCATGAGGCAGAATGGACAGCTCACAGTGTCTCTGCCTGGCCAGGTGCTGTACAAGCTCGCGTGGAGTGAGAGCATGGAGAGGGACTGCGCCACCTTCTGTGCCAAGAAGTAAGGACACCCACCTGGGCCCACCCATACTAAGACCTCTAGCACCACTCTGTGATACCCCCAAGCCCCTCCATCATGTCTTCTGCTCCTCGGTCCCCTACCATGCCCCCCATTATGGTCCTCCCCTCCCCCACCCTGAACCCCCATCACACCTTATCCCCCCCCACACATTTCTTTCCTTTTGATACTCAGCTTCAGAAAGGGTTGTATACCCCACAGGTTCGCCGACCACCTGCACAAGTTCCATGAGAATGACAACGGAGCAGCGGCTGGTGACTTGTGGCAGTGACCCCTACCCCTAGGCATCCCACCACAACAGTGATGGTTGCATGCCCCACCCCTGCTTGCTCAGCTACTTCTAATGACTTAGACTCCCCTAAAGAACCCCTCCCCTAGAAGATGCCCTTGTCCTGTGCCCAACAGCTGCCAGAGGACCCAGGTCTCCTTGGGCCCCTCAAAAAAATGTGTCAATCACATCATGCCTCCTAAGTCCAGATAGCTTCTGATACCTGGCCCAACTAAGCTAAAGGGGTCCCCTCAGAAACCCCCTAGGGCACCACCTCAGGCTGGTGATCAACCTGGGCTTTGCTCACAGCCTGATCTCTAGCCCTGGTGGCAGAGACCCCCCCCCCCAACTGTGATGGTGATCAAGTTACCATCAATTCTGGCTGTGGTTAATCCAGTTTGGGTTCCCTGGACCTGTCTGCAGCAGGGCTCTGTGTCCCCTGGGGCTCTTCTGGGATCCTGGCTCCCTCCTGCAAGAGGTGGAAGGCCCTTCCTACCAGGCCACAGGCTTTAAGTCCAGCCCCCTGGCCTGCCTCTTTCACCAGCCACACCGCCCAGAGGACAGATTTGATTGACAAGACCTAGTCAGCTCACCACCCCAAGAGGAAGAGCCCCAATGGGTGGCACAGTTTCTATTACCCTCCTTCCCCCAGCCCCACATGATTTCTGCTTTCCCTGTTAGCAATATAGTCTAGGTTTCTAGGTGAGGAAGAGTCTACAGTGAGCCCCCTGTGCCTCAGACTCTTCAGACCCAAGGACTGGGCTGAGGGGCACAAGCACCCTAACAGCCACCTGTCAAGGCCACTGGCAGATCTTCCTAAGTTAGATTTGCACTTGCGCACTCAGCTTTGCACATTCAAAATAAACCATGGTTGCAGGAACGCCAGTGCCCTGTGCTCTGTGACCCTAGAGTTCTAGGATGGAGCCGGGGAAGGGGGAGCAGTACCAGAGCAAGGACTGACCTCCCAACTGATCTGTTGATGGGGGCATGGCACTGGCACACAGAACATCTGTCTCCTTCCTGTTCTCAAGAATTCCATGAGTGGGTCCAGAGCTTTGTTGAAACTCAAGCCTATCGTATCTGTTTTCCTGAGCAAATGAGTAGCCCCATCAAAAAAGGAAACCCATTTCTTTTTTCAAAAGCTACCTGTCATGCTGTGATTGGGTGTATGTGTCTTAGTAGATCCACGTCAGTTCCTGGAGAATCCCTGCTTCCCTTTCTGTGTCCCCTGGAGCCGTATCTGAAGCATGTCCCTTTCCCTGAGTCCCTGCTTGCCAGGTGCTGCAGAGACCATGCCCACCAACCCCTTGAGCAACAGCCTTACACCAGGACTCCCTTGAGCCCAGCGCCACTCATGTGGGTCCCCTCAGCCCCAGATGGAGGGAGGGCTTCCTCTTGGTATATATTTGCCATCAAGGTAGCCTGTGAGGCTGGCTTCAAACCCACTTCCTACCCTGCTGTCCACTAGGCCAGGGTACCCTGTGCTATCTCTATCTCAGTTTTCATCCTAAGCAGTCTTGAGCATGTGTACCCAGGGGCCCTTCTTTAGGATTCCCACCATCACTCCTCATCATCTCTCTAATCAGAACTTCTTCCAAGGCCCCAGAACCTCCTCCTATCCTCAGGGACTCAGGATGAACCTGTCCTCCCTGACTCATTCCTGTCCCTGTGACAGCTGCTCTTGGCCAACCACACCCCCTCCACCCCCACAGCCACTTCCACATCTCCCATAAGTTCCTCATTGTGGGTCAGAGTCACTCTGAAGCCATCTCCTCCTCACTTCTCCCTGGGGATGGATCAGAGCTATTGTCCTGCCCATGGCTTTCAATTCCAGGACCCTCTCTAGCCACTGACAGCCCACCAGCAGAGCTCAGCCCATCACTCTGAATCAGGTTAGTCCACTATGGCCCAGGCTCTCCCCTCTCTGGGGAAGGTGGAGGCCACAGCCAGGCTTCCCAGGGTGTGCAGCCTCTCTCTCTCCCACTTTGTGGGCAGTCAACCCTTCATCTGCATCCCACCCTCATTCATAAGTGTTCTGGTTCCTAGCCAGGCATCCAGGCCTGTGTGCAGCTCTGATCAAAGGCTGGACCACTGCCTAAGTTTTCATTGAGTGTTAGCTTGCCAGCTCCTGGAGGGAGCAGTGGGGATGTGCCTGGCAGGGAAGGGACCGATCTTGTTCAGTGCCTGTGGAGGGCAGCAGCAGTGTTTGGGGCAGGGCTCTAAGCCAGTCTCCACCTTCAACCCTCAAGACCCCACCCTTTGCATCCATAAGAAGGAGATAAAAACCCTGGCCTGGCCTGCTTGCTGGGAAATGAGATGTGAAAGGGGTGAAAGGTTAAAGGAATCTCTACAAAGGCCAAAGGTCAGCATGGGAAGGCAACAAATGGAGGGATCTCCTCCAACCAGGGAGACCCTAGCAGACACAGAAATGCCAGAGGTGGGTCAGAGACAAGCCTAGGAGTGCTGAGGGCAAGGAGGGAGAGGAGGGGAGAAGGCACTCAGGAGACTTCCCCAGCTCTCCCCAGGAGCAAGAAATAGGTCTTACCTCTAACTGGCCCATTCAACACCTCTGTTCAAATTGATGTCCTCCCCACCCCCACTCCTCTCAGACCCCTTCAAGGCCTGCTAGAGTCCTGCACCTCTTTGGGGTAGTCTCCTATAATATCCCCCCACCCCAGCACCAGGAGTCGGACCACAAGTGCCTGCAAAGCCCAGCAGGACTCTGCCCTATATTAGGCTGGGCTCTCGATCCAAGCAGGGGTGATGAAGCAAGGGCTGTCTGTGGTCTCCCATCACCCTCCTATGACTTCTGACACCTCTCCCTGTGGCAGTAGTATCCCCAACTGTGAAGGTTGGGTGGTGGAGACACTGTGCTCAGGAGGGCTGGAGGAAGGGGGCGTAATGCTCGCCCTCGGGATTTATGAGAACTAGACACAGACTTCCCCCACCCCCACTCCCCTTGCGACATCTGGCCCTCCTCGAAGCTCCCATTGTGAAGCTCCCATTGTCCCTGTGGCGGAGCGTCTGGCCACAGCTACAGCCCTCGCGGGGCTCCTGTCACCCGGGAGCGCTCCAAGGCATCCACACCCTGTACACCCCACCACGCAGGACACCCACCCGGCCCCACCCGCCGCGCTTCCGCGGCCACCACCTCCACGCTGGGGGATTCCAGCGCCTGGCCTGGAGCTGGCTCCATGACACAGGGAGCCCCCTTCCAGATGGACCGCTATAGGCCCGTTAGAGGAGTCTCTAAGCCCCAGGACCGGGCAGTCTGGGCCCCGCAGTCGCCGAGAGAAAGCGACCTTTGGCCGCGGTCCCCTCTCAACGTTCGGCGGAGGGCGGGGGGGGCGCGGCGCTAGGCAAGCGAGGGCGGGGCTCGCGGCAGGGGCGGGGCCGGGAGGCGCGCGCGGCGCGGGCGGGGGGCGCAAGGGGGAGCGGGCGGGGCGCGCGCCGCGCGGGGCTGGACTTGGAGCGCGCTGGGCTCAGCAGCCAGAGAGCAGCGCGGGGGCCGCGCCAGGACCGCGAGGAGCGCACGAGCCTTCGAGGTTGTGGACGTGGGAGGGAGCAGACGCCGACGCCGGCTCCCCCCTGGAGGGAGCCAAGCTAGCCGCGAGCCATGAGCCGCTGGGCTCCGGGAGCCCGGCCGCGGTCCGGGCAGCGCTCCACCAGCGCCCCGGCCCGCGCGGCCGCAGCTGCGCGCCTGTAGGTATGGCCTGTTTGTCCTCAGTTCCCTGTCCCCTGGACCCTCATCCCGGACCCCATCTGTTCCTGAGGACTTGCGCGTGTGTGCGTGCCGCTGCCCCATAGAGCGGCCGCACGCGCTCCGGTCCGCGCGTGTCGTCTTTGTGTGCGCGGGTGGGAAGAAGAAGGGCGAACGAGGGAGGGGATGCGCCCCGAGCTGGGATCGGCTCCCAGACCCCCATCCCTGGCGGGGCGGGGAGGGGCTGAGCTGCTTCGGGAGCAGCTGCATCCCCGCCCCCTCCTAGGGCCCTGACCCTGGGGCGAGCGCCCGGAGCCCTCAGGGGAAGGGGTCTCTGGCTTGGGGAGGAGTCACTCTGGTCTCTTTCCTAGACTGGGCGGGGTGGGGGGGATTGTCAACCTAGGGTGAGGGCCATGCTGGGTAATCGGGAAGGACCCCATCTGGGCCACACTCACTGAGCTGGCACGCCCTCATTTCGACCCAGGTCCCCTTTCTCGGCTCGCCCACCGGGGAGGTCCACAGCAGCCCCATTTAGTGAGGGGGATCGACCAGGATGCTCGAGAGGCCGGCGCCTTTAAGAAGAGGCGGATTCGTGCCCTCCATTCAGGCCCTTCAGCCTCGGCCATTGATGAACCTGTGAGCATTGATGAACCTAACAAATCCCGCCAGCCCAGCGGACTGAAACCAGGCAGAGCCAGGTGACCCATCGGGTCCCCAGCATCCCTGAAGTGGGGCCTTCAGAGAGAAAAGTCTGCAGTGACGGGGCCTCTCAGGATCCAAGCAGGGCAGATCGGGCAGCTTCTGGCCAAGACAGTGAACGTGAATAAGCCTTAATTTAAGTTCACTTCCAGTTGGTGCAGGGGAGAGTCTCAGGGTTGGCTGGCGGACCTGGGTTGAACCCTACCAATGAGCTTTGAGCCAACATTATCTACCTGTTAAAGTAGGGCTGGTGCTGCCTGCCTCCTAGCTGGGTGACCGACAAGAGTTGCCTCCCTCCAACACCGGTCCCTGAGCATGGCATGAGCGAACTCCTCTGGGAGGGCAGCGGGCCAAGGGACATGGCTTCTCCTGGCTTCTCCTAGCTGCTTTGGCTGTCTCTTAATCTAGCCCACTTACTCTGCCCCACCTTGAACAAATCTCTTCCCTCCTGGCTTCCCTGCTTCATGCAGGAAACCATTAATTTAGGAAGTGACCTAGAACTTTTCAGTACCAGGAACTTTGGAAGAGCTCTGGCAGGGACTGCAGCAGTATTTTTAGGTTAGCGTGGATCAGGATATTTCCGGGGGTCTGTGAGGAAAAATTTCCGACTAGCTGCTTCCTTCTACTCTTCTCTCTAGAAGTCTATCCCACCAACATCCAGGAACACACCCGCCCCCTGGGTGTAAATGCAGGTGGCCAAAGCTTCTGATGCTTCTAGGTAATGGAGGAATTGAATACACATGCTTAATTCTTATCATTGTGGTGAACACCTGCCTAAACTTTGTAAACTCTTCCCTACATAGTGTGGGTCTCCTAGGAAGGACTCCTGAATACACATACAGCCCAGGGGTGGGCCCCTCTTCACAGTGTTGGAAGTGAGGCTTCCACCCAGATGGAGCCTGGGCCTCCCAGGGCTGAGCATTTAGTTTTGAACTGACTCGTGCCAGGCTAAGGGCATTGGTGTCATTTCTCATGTTACTAATATTATCCTCACTTTACAGAGAGGAAGACAAATTTAGGGATGTGAAATGACTTGTCCAAAGTCCCTCAGCCAACAAGCAGGGCTCCAAATCACTTCTCTCTGACAAGAGCCTGAGTCTTACTCCTTGCACTGTCTGCCCAGCCCAGGTTGTAGGGAAACGGGGGTTTAAGTGCCTCTGGCCTCCTGGCTGCCGTCCCATGTGGTTACGGTGCAGTCTTGTAGCTTGCTGATTTGCACTGTTCATGTGGAGCTAGAGGGCTCCGGAGTGGCTTTTCTCCTCCAGTCACCTGGTTGGGTCTGTTTTTATGGCTGTCTCAGGGGATAGCAGGTGTGACTCCTCAACATGAGGCCACAGCCCACACTGTTTGGGGAGAGCAGGCCAGGCATTGCTGTGTGGGAGTACAGCATCTTTCATTCCTCTGGGCACAGCAGAGCTTGTGCTCCATTCTCCAGAACCTTCCACCCCTCTGAGGACAGAGCAGGTATAACAGCCAGCCAGGGGCTCACAATCTGGTGGAGGAGACAGGCCACAGCCATGTGGTGTGGTGATGGAGCAGGGGGAAATGGTGGAGTGGACAGGATAAAGGAGGTATGTTTCTGAGGCCTCCAAAGGCTCTGGGGCCTGCCAGCTATTGAAGCAAAGGGGTGGCAGTAGGTAGGGCAATGCTGGGCTCAGTACTGGGACTCCAAGCAGGAGTTGGAGGAAGAAGATGTATTAGAACTTGGAAGTGGTGAATTTGAGGTAGCTGGAGATCAGTCAGGCTGGAAGCTGGGGCTCAAAGAAAGGACCAGGGAACCTTCAAAAGCACCTTCAGTCCCCAGAGTTCTGGGATCCAGAACTGAGAGGAGCCACTGGAGGTCTCAGTCAGGAGTCACTAGTGACACACATGAAAAAAACCAGCAGGCAGACTGCTAGGCTAAAGGCATGATTGGTGGGAGCACATCCTGCAGGTTTAGGGGTCTGGGACAGGGCCCAGGTGAGGTCCTTGGCACTGGGAGAGAAGAGGCTGAAAGGCTTAGGCTAAAGCTGAAAGGGGGGAGCCTCTGCTCTGTAACCCCAGGAAACCAGGATGAGGTGGGATAGAGCAGAACCAATGCAGCTGGAGTCAGCCCAGCCTGCTCTCCAGTTAGAGTCCATCTAGGAACTGTCCAGCACTGGCCACTCCTGAAGGAGGATGGGGCTACTCCTTGAGCCCACTGGCCCTGGCTTAGTTTCTTGCCCTGGCCCCCACTCCCTGCTCATGACACCTACCTCCTGCAGGGCTCAGCCAAGGGTTCCCCTGTCCCCCTACCTCTTCTCTAAGGATGAACACCTCTTTTCCTAAAGAAGGGACTGAGTCCTCCCACTGTGCCCTGAGGGGCGAGCACCCCAAGAATAGGTCCCTGGTGGGAGTGGCATGTGCTTCAGAATGGGACAAATCTGGAATGTGGATACACACTCCCCTCTGCCCATTCTGTGGCCCTGGACCAACCTACCAGGGACCTAACAGCGTGGAAGCCAGTACAAATCC